TTCCCTCCAAAAAAATCCCTTGGAATTCTGACGTTGCTCTGGGGATTTTCCCTCATTAAAAATCCCCGGAATTCCGACGTTTTTCCGGGAATTTTCCTTCATAAAAAACCTGGGAATTCTGACATTGCTCTGGGAATTTCCCCTCATTAAAAATCCCCGGAATTCCGACGTTTTTCCGGGAATTTCCCTTCATAAAAAACCCCGGAATTCCGCCGTTTTTCCGGGAATTTCCCCTCATTAAAAACCCCGGAATTCCGCCGTTTTTCCGGGAATTTCCCCTCATTAAAAATCCCAGAATTCCGCCGTTTCTCTGGCAATTTTCCCTCATTAAAAATCCCTGGAATTCCACCGTTTTTCCAGGAATTTTCCTTCATAAAATCCCCCGGAATTCCGCCGTTTTTCCGGGAATTTCCCCTCATTAAAAACCCCGGAATTCCGCCGTTTTTCCGGGAATTTCCCCTCATTAAAAACCCCGGAATTCCGCCGTTTCTCCGGGAATTTCCCCCCATTAAAAACCCCGGAATTCCGCCGTTTTTCCGGGAATTTCCCCTGAGGGTTGGGAATTTTCCCGGCAGGCGGCGGCTGTCGGAGCAGCTGGCCCACACGCCCACCTCATTCCGGAGGGATCCCGAGGATCCGTCGGCCGTGGCCCTCAAGGAGCCCTGGCAGGAGAAAGTCAGGTGGGGAAAATTCCCGGGAATTCCACGGGAATTCCGTGGGGAAAAAAAAACCCGGGAATCGACGGCGGCCCCGCCCCCATCCAGGGGTTTGCCCAAATTCCCGGGATTTTCCGGGCGGATCCGAAGTCGGAAGGGTTGGGATTGTCCCGGGATAAAAGCTGGGGGAGAAAGCGGGAGAATTCCCGGGATGGAGGAATTGTGGGAGGTCTCGTCCGTGTTCCTGGTGGGATTTTAATGGGATTTTAATGGGATTTTATGGGATTTTATGGGATTTTAATGGGATTTGAATGGGATTTGATTGGGATTTGATTGGGATTTTAATGGGATTTTAATGGGATTTGATTGGGATTTTAATGGGATTTGATTGGGATTTTAATGGGATTTGATGGGATTTGATTGGGATTTTAATGGGATTTGATGGGATTTGATTGGGATTTGATTGGGATTTTAATGGGATTTTAATGGGATTTGAATGGGATGGGATTTTAATGGGATTTGAATGGGATTTGATTGGGATTTGATTGGGATTTGAATGGGATTTGAATGGGTTTTTAATGGGATTTTATGGGATTTTAATGGGATTTTAATGGGATTTGATTGGGCTTTGATTAGGATTTTAATGGGATTTGATAGGGATTTTAATGGGATTTTAATGGGATTTTATGGAATTTTAATGGGATTTTAATGGGATTTGATGGGGATTTTAATGGGATTTGATGGGATTTGATGGGGATTTTAATGGGATTTTGATGGGATTTGATTGGGATTTTAATGGGATTTGATGGAATTTTAATGGGATTTGATGGAATTTTAATGGGATTTGATTGGGATTTGAATGGGATTTGATTGGGATTTGATTGGGATTTTAATGGGATTTGATGGGATTTTGATGGGATTTGATGGGATTTTAATGGGATTTTATGGAATTTTGATGGGATTTATTTTAATGGGATTTGATGGGATTTTGATGGGATTTGATGGGATTTTAATGGGATTTTATGGAATTTTGATGGGATTTTAATGGGATTTAATGGGATTTTAATGGGATTTCATGGACTTGGATGGGATTTTAACGGGACTGGGTGGCACAAAGACAATTCCAGGGAATTCCCAGAGCATTCCCCAACCTGCAGATCCCGGGCTGATCCCGTTTTTCCCGATTTTTCCCCCTCAGGAGAATCCGGGAAGCCTCTCCCTACGGCCACCTCCCCTCCTGGCGCCTCCTCTCCGTCATCGTCAAATGCGGCGACGACCTCCGGCAGGAGCTGCTGGCGTTCCAGGTGCTCAAACAGCTCCAGGTGAGGAGATTCCCAAGGAATTCCCAACAGAATTCCCCATCCCTGAGAGATTCCCGTCATTCCCGAAAAAATTCCCGGGTTTTTAGGGATTTTTATGGAGTTTTTATGGATTTTTATGGAGTTTTTATGGATTTTTATGGAGTTTTTTTAGGGCGTTCCAGGTGCTCAAACAGCTCCAGGTGAGGAGATGCCCAAGGAATTCCCAACGGAATTCCCCATCCCTGAGAGATTCCCGTCATTCCCGAAAAAATTCCCAGATTTTTAGGGATTTTTATGGAGTTTTTATGGATTTTTAGGGATTTTTATGGATTTTTATGGAGTTTTTTTAGGGCGTTCCAGGTGCTCAAACAGCTCCAGGTGAGGAGATTCCCAAGGAATTCCCAACGGAATTCCCCATCCCTGAGAGATTCCCGTCATTCCTGAAAAAATTCCCGGGTTTTTAGGGATTTTTATGGAGTTTTTATGGATTTTTATGGAGTTTTTATGGATTTTTATGGAGTTTTTTTAGGGCGTTCCAGGTGCTCAAACAGCTCCAGGTGAGGAGATTCCCAAGGAATTCCCAACGGAATTCCCCATCCCTGAGAGATTCCCGTCATTCCTGAAAAAATTCCCGGGTTTTTAGGGATTTTTATGGAGTTTTTATGGATTTTTAGGGATTTTTATGGATTTTTAGGGATTTTTTTAGGGCGTTCCCGGTGCTCAAACAGCTCCAGGTGAGGAGATTCCCAAGGAATTCCCAGAATTCCCCATCCCTGAGAGATTCCCGTCATTCCCAAAAAAATTCCCGGGTTTTTAGGGATTTTTATGGAGTTTTTATGGATTTTTATGGAGTTTTTATGGATTTTTATGGAGTTTTTTTAGGGCGTTCCCGGTGCTCAAACAGCTCCGTGTCCCTGTGGATTATTGCCGTTATTAATTCCCGTTATTAATTCCCGTTATTAATTATTAATTCCCGTTATTAATTATTAATTCCCGTTATTAATCCCCGCAGTCCATCTGGGAGCAGGAGCGGGTTCCGCTCTGGATCAAGCCCTACCAGATCCTGGTGATCTCTGCGGACAGCGGGATGATCGAGCCGGTGCTCAGTGCTGTGTGCCTGTAGATTATTGCTGTTATTAATCCCCGTTATTAATTCCCGTTATTAATTAATTCCCGCAGTCCATCTGGGAGCAGGAGCGGGTTCCGCTCTGGATCAAGCCCTACCAGATCCTGGTGATCTCAGCTGACAGCGGGATGATCGAGCCGGTGCTCAGCGCCGTGTCCCTGTGGATTATCCCCGTTATTAATCCCCGTTATTAATTATTAATCCCCGCAGTCCATCTGGGAGCAGGAGCGGGTTCCCCTGTGGATCAAGCCCTACCAGATCCTGGTGATCTCTGCGGACAGCGGGATGATCGAGCCGGTGCTCAGCGCCGTGTCCCTGTGGATTATCCCCGTTACTAATTCCCATTATTAATTCCCGTTATTAATTATTAATTCCTGTTATTAATTCCTGCAGTCCATCTGGGAGCAGGAGCGGGTTCCCCTCTGGATCAAGCCCTACCAGATCCTGGTGATCTCGGCGGACAGCGGGATGATCGAGCCGGTGCTCAGCGCCGTGTCCCTGTGGATTATCCCCGTTATTAATCCCCATTAATTATTAATTCCCGTTATTAATTATTAATCCCCGCAGTCCATCTGGGAGCAGGAGCGGGTTCCGCTCTGGATCAAGCCCTACCAGATCCTGGTGATCTCTGCGACAGCGGGATGATCGAGCCGGTGCTCAGCGCCGTGTCCCTGTGGATTATCCCCGTTATTAATCCCCGTTATTAATTATTAATCCCCGCAGTCCATCTGGGAGCAGGAGCGGGTTCCCCTGTGGATCAAGCCCTACCAGATCCTGGTGATCTCTGCGGACAGCGGGATGATCGAGCCGGTGCTCAGCGCCGTGTCCCTGTGGATTATCCCCGTTACTAATTCCCATTATTAATTCCCGTTATTAATTATTAATTCCTGTTATTAATTCCTGCAGTCCATCTGGGAGCAGGAGCGGGTTCCCCTCTGGATCAAGCCCTACCAGATCCTGGTGATCTCGGCGGACAGCGGGATGATCGAGCCGGTGCTCAGCGCCGTGTCTCTGTGGATTATCCCCGTTATTAATCCCCATTAATTATTAATTCCCGTTATTAATTATTAATCCCCGCAGTCCATCTGGGAGCAGGAGCGGGTTCCGCTCTGGATCAAGCCCTACCAGATCCTGGTGATCTCGGCTGACAGCGGGATGATCGAGCCGGTGCTCAGCGCCGTGTCCCTGTGGATTATCCCCGTTACTAATTCCCATTATTAATTCCCGTTATT